AGGGGTGGCTTCATATCGCGACTCCGGGTTTCACTTGACAGCGACGCGTACACGGAGCAGACGTCCGCGGTCCCCCCCGGGGCCTCAGGGGGCCGCCCGCCAGCCCCACCAGACCGCCCTCAAGGCCCCGAGGGCCTGTTCCGGACTGCCAAGATGTAAGCAAGCACGGGGACCTGCGCCTGCGGGCGCGATCCACCCCTCTCTCTCTCCCCTTTCGTATAGCCCACCTCCTCGCCCGTCTTGTCTCTTCGTCACCCGCCCGCTGTCGCTCTCGGGAATCCTGCCATGTGCAGGTGAATTTCAGCGTATATGTTTAGCCGCTATCGACGAGCATGCGGCGATATGATCTATCTCTCGCTAGGCTTTCCCCGCCGGCGTGGTGCGTCCCGGGTCCTGGCGGGGCCGGCGCGGTGCGGTGCGGGCCCTGGGCGATAAGCTGCGCGCCGCGCCTAGCCGCCGTTCGTTCGCCGGGCGTTCTTTCATCGGTACCGGCAGGCGTCGTTCACTCCGGTTCACTCGGTGAGAGGAGAGGCGTCGACGCGGCGAGGTGGCGCGGCCAGCGACACAGCGACGGCATCTCAGGGGGGCGGCCATGACGGGCACGCTGGTGTCCGGGACAGCTCTGACGACGCTGACGACGACCTCGTCCTCCGGGAGGGCCACCTTCGACCTGTGCGCCTGCGTCCTGGGTGCCATCGCCATGGCCGCCTACGTGGTGTACCCCGGAGCCGCCCTCTACCCCGCCTTCATCGCCGCTCAGTTCTACATCCTGGTCGTGATCCTGTCGTAGGCGCCCTCTCCCCCGGCCTCCGTGCAGGCCGTCGACGTGCTCGTCTGGGCGCTGGACGCCGGCAGAACGCGTCCCGCCGGGTGCGGGCGGCAGCACGAAGAGAAGTGAGTTTTAAGTGTTTTCTGCGCTTCTTATGAAAACCGGAGAAGGACGAGAGAAATCAAATCATATATTTGAACTCTGCAAACGAGACTTTGTTGAACAGTTGGCATTAGGCGCCGGCCGGCGCGGAAGCAGTGGTGTTACGTACGGCCTTCATACTGTCAATGTAAATTCAATTCGCACTTCGTAGCGCAACGACAAGCGTGGACAAGCGAGAGTGTACACACACACGCGCGCGCACACACACACAGGCAGGTCACCATGAATAAACTTGTCAAAGATGGTATCACTACTCTGTATTTGAACTGTTATTTTCTTACAAACTTAAAATACTTCTACATAGTAATGAAATGCTTATACATAGTAATAAAATACTTACACATAGTAATCATCAAATAGTACTTATACATAGTAATCAGTCATTCACACACTGGCTCTCACACACGGGATCTCCACGTTGGTATAACCGACAGCGCGAAGTCCAGCCTAACCCAGCGTTCTGCTCGTCTAAAATAGGATATCGCTCTGGCAGGTAAAAACTGAATCACCCCTGTTGCACATCAACTAAGCGAGCGAATGTATACATTTTAGAAGCATATAACTATACATATTTAAAAGCAAAAATCACAACATCATACCCGCATTCGGCCCAGCGGCGAGTTTCGTCTTGTCACAATAAAAATGGTATGGCGTATGGCGAGGCTTTCCTCAAATCACGTCCATAATACTGGTCGTTTTTTTTACCCAGGGAGGAAGAAACAACGACGGTTTTTGGTGGACAAAGTCTCTAGGATTTTGAAAAATGTCTGTACGTGTTTCACTTTTTAAGAAAAGGGGAAACTTTGAGGAACTCCCATGTTTATGGAAAACTCCTCCGATGTAGCCGCAGATTTTGAGGAATCTTTGCAAAAAAATGAGGAAAAATCCTACACTTTTGGGGGAGACTCCCTCGAAATCTAAAGACTTTTCCTCAAACTAAGGGAGCTCCTTTAAAGTTTTCCCTTTTCCCTCAAAAAATGATATATCGTTTTCACCGTGTTGTGGATTTTCTTGTTTTACTTCCTTATCTTAAATCAATTTTTGTAGACTTTGTAGATTTTCTGAGTGCACGGAAAAAAAGAATTAGCTATCAGAGTCAGAACTAGTGAATTCGCTAATTTTCGGATAGACAGGGAGGAGTCAGGAGTTCGTTGCTGGAGACAAGCAGTACTACTGTACTATCCACAACTAAGCTGTGCAATGTACCGAGTGGTGGACTTCTTGGATATTCCATGCACACACTGAAAAATATTCTAGATAGTCCAAAAGTATTCCAGATCTACCGAAATATTTCCAAATATTCCAAGAATGTTCCAGCAAATTCCAAAAAGATTTCAGATATTCTAAAAGTATTCCAAAATTCCCTGAATATTCCAGTTATTCCACAAATATTCCAGTTATTCCACAAATATTCCAGATATTCCATGAACACCAAAACAAAAAAGTGGTCGACCCCCGAAATGTACCAGTTATTCTACATCGAATTGCGGATTGTCTATTCCGAAATAAGCTAATTTGTTAGTTCAGGTGACTAATTCGTTTTGTTCCGTCTGCCTACAATGTTGAGCACTTTCCCCCCTAGGTAGAACCGTTGTGGTGCTGCTCACGGAGCCCCGGTCCCGGTCGCCGCTGCACCGCTTTGCTTGGGCGCGGTGCGCGCGCCCCTGAGCACCGAGAGCAGCCTGCTGAACGGGGCCTCCACCAAGAGGTGCAGCACCAGGGCCGCGAGGAAGGCAAAGCAGGTGTCCGCGATCGCCATGACGACCTGCAGGGGATCAAATTAGTTTTCTATCATCTGCTTTCACGATCGATTCTTGACCACTTCTAGCCTGGCAGAGTCTCGCATGCTCACGGTTCCCTCTAGCCTCTAATATCTATGGTTTGCTGCTCAAGCGTTTTTTCCCTCTTTCCCTATCGAGAGCTGACACCGTACAAGAGGCCGCTCACAAATATAACATCACGCTATTTTGGACAATTTTTCTACCCCTTTTCCCCCACTGCCACAGTTATAGTCATGATTTTGACTCCCCCCCCTCCCCTCAGCGAATGTCGCTCAACTTTGATAGTGATTGTTTTATCACCGCGCGGAGCAAGTAACTGTGTGACGTCAGAGGGATCTTGACCGCCCGCCTACCCCCCGCCCCCTAAAAGTGTGACTTGTGAACGCCCCTCATGTACCATGTGGCTGATTCACCCCGCGCACGACATGCCTATTTATACTGCACCGCATGCACGGGTGCGGGCGGGCTTGCCTATCCTCGCTGCGTTCGGCTCCTTACGGCCCCGTCCGAGTAGGCAGCCCACCCGCACACGTGCATGCGGTACGGTATAACTAAAGTGCGCGGCTTTAATCAGCCACCTGGTATGTTTATGTTTAGCGCTTGTTGTTACTGAAGTGTGTCATCTTCCCAAAAGGAGGGATTGGGGGCGGGGGGCGGATCCTCACCGTGTCCTGGGTGCTGTACACGAACGCCGCCCGCTGTTGGCCGCCCAGGTAGAGCTGCACGAGCGCGTGCGTGCAGTACGCGCTGTACGAGAGGCGCGACCAGGGCCGGAACGCGGCGAACACCGAAGTTCGCGACTTGTCCGCGTCCGCTGGAACATTCACAGACGAGCCGTGAAGGAGGGGGAGGGGGAAGACGGAGACGGGATGTCTTGATGTTGACTCACCCGCCGTGGCCGCGACGATGCCCGCGGCGAAGGCCACGCCGACCAGGCTGCGGTGCAGGCCCGCATAGGCGACGCGCGCCCAGAGGGGCGTGAGCGCGGGCTGGGCCGTCATGAAGACGGTGCCGAGCGCCACCGCGGCCACGGCCAGCAGGAACAGCAGCGGCGCGGCCCAGCGCAGCGCGCGCGGCACGGGCGCGGCCCGCGCCTGCAGGTGGCGCAGGTACCAGCCGGCCGCCACCCCGGCCACGTACGGCCCGAGCCGGCCCGCCGCCGACACGTACACGTGCATGTGCAGCGGGGTGCGCGCCATGTGCCCGGCGTCACTGCGGGAGAAAACAACCATACAGGTGGAACACAATCGTCAAAAACTCGCCAATGACCCTCATCTTACGTCAAAATAAGGTCAATTATCTGGCTACCTAGCTGCAGTAAATTTTGACGGTGACGTCATTTTGACATAACATTGGGGTGTGGTCTACTCGCCCAGCTACGAATTAATTGTTGCTGCCGGCCTGCTAGCCGAAATTCATTTGGGGTGTTTACTCACCTCGGCGTAGGAACGATGGTGCCGTCGAGACGGAGCCACCAGGTGATGCCAGCCGGGTAGAGAACGCCGAAGAGGAAGGCCAAGGCCAGGAGGCGGCGCACCAGGCGCGGCCGGGTGGGCGCCAGCAGCACGATGGGGCACAGGACCAGGAAGAGCTGCATGTCACACGCCAGGTACCAGGCGGGATCCAGGCACTGCGGAGAAGGCGAGCCAAGGGTTAAGTCCGCAGAAAGGAGGGGGGGGGAGTTCAGGTGGGTTGAAGTATACCGGTTCATCCTGGCCGAAGACGTTGTTGATGAAGAGCAGGTTGGTCCACCAGCGGCGCTGGCAGCGCTGCGCCTCCTCCAGCACGGTGGTCCCCCACAGCGGACCGGAGCCCAGCGACGGCAATTCCAGCGCCAGGAAGGCGATGGCGGCCGCGTAGGCGGGGATGAGCCTGCGTGCACGGCGATTCAGAGTTGTGAGTCATCTCAAGCACGAGGCGTGTCTCGGTCTCGGGCGCCGGTGACGACAAAGAGGAAAGGTGGTGGGCGGGGAAAACAGTTGGCAGCGATGATTGTAGGGGCATCCAGGCTTCCCATAGCAGCGCGCCACCCCGGCGCGCCTTGCTGGCCTGGGAGGAAACACTGCCCTAGAATCACTGCTAGCGCCGCGGTGGCATGGAGAGGTGGGTGCCGATCAGCCTCGCCGTCTTCCTTGGACTCGCTGCCGTCATCGTGGTCGTGTTCACCGCCATCTACTCCAGCGACGCCAAGGCGTAAGTGCGGCCACGCTGTTGCGCTGTTGTCTCCCTTGTCCACCCCTCATGACACAAACAAATGCTGATCAAAAGATTGCGTAGAGAAAATCCAGCATTGACGCTGTGTTACGTAATTTGAATTTCCCGCGCTTTGCATCAGGAATATGAGCCCACTGAGCAACGCAACGCGCGCGCGCGGGGGAAGTACAGCATTGTACAGTACAAGAGTGGGAGTGTCTCCGATCGGGCCGAGCGCCTCGCCCGGTATCGTCCGTCTCCTTTCCTCTTGTACCTGACGCATGAGGGAGTGCGGGAGAAAGAGGATGCCGGGCAAGGCGCTCGCCCGCCCGATTGGAGGCACTATGTATAGTGGAGTACGCACGCGGTGACCCGAGGCCGAGCCCGACAGGAAACTTCTCCCCGGCCCGACACTGCATTACCTGATTTATTGCCCAACTTGGGAGAGGCAGGGGAATTTCTTGGGCTGATGCGTCCCCGTCCTCCGAGTGAGATAGACTGACCCGCCCAACAGGGAACGCCCGAGGGGCCCCCGGCTGGCGGTGTTCCTCGTGCCGCCGCCTCCCCCGTCCCCGCCCTACCGCCCCTCTAACTGGACCGACCCTGTGCCGCCCCCGGCGGGGAACGCCTCCCTCATGTCGCTGTCCAACTTGGCCGCTGTATTCCCGGTGGACAGCTCCTTCCCGGAGCTCTTCCTCCTCCGGCCCGGGGTCCGCCTCCTTGGCCGCCAGGACGCCGCGGGTCTGCCGGCCTTCGTGATGGATGTTCCCGGAGGACGCCGTGGAGTCCGTCCTCTCGGAGGGGAGAGGCCCGCCGCCGGTCCCCACAAGATTGTCCGAGGTGACCGGCGCATGACCTTCGGGGACGCGGACGCCTTCGTCTACACCTCTTCCGACCCCGCCGCGTCCAATGCCACCCCTCCCGACTCTCTCCAAAGAACGAGCAGCGTAGCGCCGCCAACCACCCCAACAAGTGCGCCAGCGCCACCGTCCCGAGCCCGGGCGCCCTCGTCGCCCTCCTCGGTGCCGCTGGAGTCCACTGTACGAGTGACCCCAAGCCCAAGTCAACCCACTTCGGGCCCTGTGGTAACCAACTACCGCAGCCGGGGGGTCGTCGACGTGGACCTCTGCGTGCTGTCGGGGGGCGCGCCGTTCCTCGTGCGGGAGGACGACAGCCGCGCCCTGCTCGAAGACACCCTGCGGCAGGTGGGTGTCCCGACTGCATTAGCTCCATTCCCGTCCGGAAGTGGCTCTGACGTGCACCTGTCCGCAGGTGAAGCCCGCCAAAAGCGCCATCATGCGCAAGGCCATGAAGGCTCTGATGGAGGCCTATCAGAGGCACATAGAGATGGAGGAGGTGTCCTCGCCGCGGCCTACTTCCGGTTGCATTCTGCCCGCCACTAAGAGGCCGCCGAGGCCGACGTCGGCCACTTCGAGTAGCAAACCTCGCTGGTGGGACTACGTCCCGGACAGGCGGTTGCCCCAGCCTAGGGGCGACTCGCGGCCTCGGCCCCGCTTGGCCACGGGCGTGCGGCGGGACCCAGTCTCCTACCCCGCGGACTACGACGACTACAACCACCTCGATGACGCGTTCGGTCCTCCCCGCATCCCGTGGCGCCAGCGCGCTGTTACCTAGACAGAGCTAATCGGAGGATTGACGCTGCGCCGCTGCGGGCAGACCTCGTCCTCCTGTGCACAGAATTAGGCTAAAACAACGACTAACTCCCGTGACGTGTTGTCGGGCCCCCTCACCTTGCGTATCGGAAGAGGTAGAGCGCCCAAAGTGAGGACTTCCTCCCCTGCTGGTGGAAGCCGATGAGCGTCCAGCTCAGCAGGCATCCCCCCGCCACAAAGAACATGTCCACCACAGCCGTGCCGTTCATGACGAACAGGTCCAGTGGGCTCGAGTACACCTGCAACGGTAGTAGAGCGACATGAGCACTGGAGCGGCCAGGAGGGCCCCGGGGGCGTAGGCAGCCCATACGACGCCACCGCTGCGCCGTACCTTCTCGAGGTCGTTGGCGTTGAGGAGCGGGCTCGCCATCAGAGCCTCACCGCGGTGCCCAAAGATGACGGCGAGCAGGCAGATCACTTTGGCCGCGTGGATGCACGCGATGTCGTTCTGGTCGTCAGCGGTGATCGCCCGCCAGTTCCGTCGCACGGAGAATGCCTGCAGGGCGCTCCCTAAAGTAATTCCACAAACGTAATTTTTCGGGCATCGACCGTCGTCGCACGACACTGCAAAACCAACACGGGCCGATCGTGCACATAAGCGTGAACGTGCCATTTCGCATTACACATTATCCATCATGTTCATGGTCAACAAAGTTGGTTTTGCAGTGTTGGCGTCTCTGTCAGCCAGGATTCAACGTCAGTTCGCATTGCGAGTTCCTTATTGTCACGCTAACCTGACTTGCCGGTCGAATCGACGATCGTGCAGAAGACGACCCACGTCACGAGCCATGTCAGGAGCGTCCTGCGAACATGACAGTGAGAAGGAAAATGAGTGAACGAATCACCAGCTGGGTGCGCAGACGGACATTCCCAGTCCTAGTCCCTCCCTCGTACACACTCACCACGCCGTCGCGCTGGCCGGTGTGCTGGGCTGGCCGGCAGGCACGTGCGCCAGCCCCTGCCACAGCCGGGGGTCGACCGTCAGGTTGGCGTCGAGGCCGTGGGGTGCCGCCAGGTCGCGGAGGGGCTGCCCGAGGACGACGGCCAGGTCGCGGGGGCCGCAGCTCGCCGGCACGCACATGCCCCACCACGTCTCGTGGCGCCCGACCTGCAGCCGGTGCTGCGGGGGCTGCGGACACGGAGGGCGACAGCGTGAGCACCGCGTCGGCGGGCGGGCGACATGGAGTACTCCGAGAGCGTGGCAGCCAAACTCACCTTGAAGGCGGCCCACGCACTTTCCTCCAGGGCGTTGTCGGCCGCCCACACGCCTAGCCGCAGCTTGGCCAGGCAGAAGGCGGTGCCCGGGAGGGCGGGCTGCGGGTCCGTCGCCAGGCACTCGTCGAAGCTGCCCAGCTGCCACAGCTCGCCCCACAGCGCGCCCCGCGGCGCGCGCGCGGACGCGTCCCACACTGCAACACAAGGGCGTAACTGCAAGTCTCTGGCGCTACCCCGCGGGGCGGGGTGGAGCTCGCGGGGTAGCGCCAAAGGGACGCGGCGTGTCGTTAGCGCTGCTTGCATTCGCATTCCCTCGCATTTCCTTTCATCGCCATGGTATGCGCCAATTCACAAAGTTTATTTCCCTAAATGGCGCACTCCTGGATTTACTCGCGCTCAAGTCCGCTAGTAGTAATACTAGTAGTAATACTCACTTTGCACGGCCCACTTGCTGAAGTTCTCCAGGCCCTCGAGGTAGGCGCGCAGGTCCGCTCTGCACTGGGTCACGGACGCGCTGTACGCGTCGGCGCCGTCGGTGAAGGCCGCCCCCTGCAGCAGCCGCAGCAGGTCCAGATCTCGGAAAAAGGGCCACAGGGACCGGGCCGGGCCGGGGTCGCTGGTGTCCCCGCACGGCCTGCGCCACGGCAAAAAAACGGTTACACACGGCGCTGCTTTCTCCCGTGGGATTTGAACCCGCGACACGAGGAGCTGAGTGCCGTCATCGCGACCCGCTGCGGCACGCGTCGCGTCCCCCCTCCGGGTCCCCCCCGCGGTTCCCCGCCGCCGCCACTTTCTGCTGCCGGTGGTTAATGCCTCGCTCCCACACCTATTGCGCGCGCGTCGACTTGTCGGGATTACGAGGATGCGGATCTCTGCGGCGGGAAGGCATTACCGCCGCTGTTTAGCGCGGGAGAAGGGCGCGGCATAGAACAATGTCACGGCGCTCTGCCGTCGCATCTCGACGGCCACACCCGAGAAAAACGAGCTTCTTCAATCAAGGAAATGTCCTTGGAACAAGTCAGTTTCCTAGACCTGTACTAGGAAATTGACTTGTTTCATTACTTGATTCAAGGACGTCCTTTTTTTGATGCGATTCGGAGCTGGAATCTTTTTCTTTTTGTTAATTTCTTTCGGTACTTTGTGTATATCTTCTCTCTTTGATTTCGAGAAAGGCCGCAATCGGAATGACGCAAAGTGGTCCTCGGTTTTGATTCCTGCAGGAAAACTATTGATTTGATTTCCTGTTGAACTATGGGTGACGCTCAGGGCTCAGGCGATCTACGACACGCGCGAATATTACTGGTTTGTAAACAAATGAATCGTTGTGATTGTGGCGTTCTTGAGATTCCATTGCACAGGGATGGATCTGGGTCACGGCTAGGGGAGGGACAAAATATGCGTGTGTTGCGGTGGATTGAATCCTACTTTCAACTTGTATTTTCTCTGGTTGTTTCATTTAGTACTGACCAGCGCGATCGATCTCTTTGGACTTTCAAATATTATTTTTATTCGAAACACGGTCGTTGGAAGAAGAAAGAAACGTCGGAAACGTGCTACTGTGTCGCCTGCCGTTTCGTGGATAGACTGTACCGCATTACATGAGTGCGGCCGTGTTGCCTACCTGCGGGTCCGTAAGGCGCCATGCTGTGTGACGGTGGACTGGGCTGGGCAATGGGCCATCCCACCTTAGTGATGGAAGTCGGCGTGTTTTCCGGAAGTACGCATATGCATTTCAAATGATATATTAGACCTAGTTAGTAGAGAGACCCTGTGCGAAGGTGACGGCTCGGGTCTGCAGTGTGACCCTATAGGTCCTGCTTCACATCCGAGATGGCGAGCCCGAGCTCGCGACTGGCCGGTCGTCTCCAGGCGCCGCGTTTAACGTTCTCTCATTTTGCGGAAAATAACGCCAGGGACACCGTACTTTTTTCTATCGCGGATATCAAGGCCACCTCAAGCCGTATGCCATTAGGTTCGTTTCACTAAAAACTAATACTTATGTAATGTATCTGATCTGGCCTGATGTCTTCCGCCCCCCCCCTCTCTCTCTCTCTCTCTTTCTCTCTCCCTCTCTCTCTCTCTCTCTCTCGCTGTTTTAACGACGGTTTTTTCTCATTACTATTTGGACTCATTCCCTGGCAGGTTTTCGGCTTTTGTCACCACGCTGTCACGATTTGCGCAGGTGTAGATAGAGGGATACTACGCTGTTTTTCCCTTTTGCGCACCTCCCCCCCCCC